TCTCCGTGTACTAATTGACTTGAGATAGACCCCTTCAGGCAGCGACTAACCATTTCTCTGCTTAATGCAATCAACAGTCTGTGAGCTTTGTTAGCTCTCAACAACCCTTGCTGTTCTTGCAGAGGAGTTTGAAGAATCACCCTCCCCCTGTTCTCCTGCTCACCTGAGGAGGAAACACTCATCACAATGAATGTATTTCCTCCTCAGTCCTGCTGTCTCCATCACTGTGGACAGATTGGACAGCTATAGAGATAGAATGAGAGTAAAACAGACATTGAACTGTTTCCTGAGATCATTTGACTAGTTCAAAAGAAAACTGTTGTCAGTCGTCAGTGGAGCCTTGAAGTGTTTTGCCAGTTGCTCATCATGTAGCCTGGGCATATAATCACATTCATAATTATCAACATCTGTGTGTCCTGGTGTGTTACCAAGCCAATGGACAAAAAACTCAGCTAAAATCTCACCAACATCTGACGTAAGAGATGTGAATAACACAACCAATGACCAAAGATCCCTCTCCAGCAGCAAGGCAACCGACATAGTGCACACAAGACGCCTCTCCGTGCTTCATACTCTGCTACTTGTTTTTTTATTACTGCAAAACCACACCTTAGTGAGTTGGCGACTTGCGGCAAGTTGGTTTATATGAAGGTTGGCCAACTGCGACAGTCACAGTTCTCTGAAATGGGAAACTTAAAAATGGTTGCCACTCTAACCATCTTGCCATGTTGACTTGAAAGAAAATGCCCTTTTTGATCTCATTCTATTTCAATGCACCATTTTATTGGCCAAACATTGGTATCAATCAATAGTTTGATGCCTTGTTGACTGTCATCGGCCTGTCAGCAAATAAAATTATGTTCAAAGATGGCTGTTGTGTCACATCAATTTTGTGCATGCTAAAAAGCAGGGATTCAGGCTAACAGCCTCCTGGCGTCATTGCCTTGGGAGGAAAAGGACACAGGAAACTTATTATTAAAGCATCAAGGGATGCACCCTATTGTTTCCCTGATAATGCTTCATTGTAAACAACAAATCTGTCTGTGTTGACATGAATGGCAGGAGTAGAGCTAATTAACGTTAGCTACTAGCTGCAGGCAACCGGTGGCTGGAGCTAACTGCTGACTGAAGTTGCAGTGAGTTAAATTATGATCGATTCAAGCTCCGTTCAGGAAATTGAGATCTGGGCCAGGTCAATTATATCGTTCTCATGATTTGTTCAAATGTAATCTCATAAATTTTTGTTTTTGGTGAGAAACTTGAATAAATACAGTTGTTTGAAGGAGAAATATGTGAAACTGTGATGTTCTCACAGCAATATAAAATAAATTTTGGGGGGCGTCGGTGGCTTAGTGGTAGAGCAGGCGCCCCATGTACAAGGCTGCTGCCGCAGCGGCCCGGGTTCAACTCCAGCCTGTGGCCCTTTGCTGCATGTCACTCCTTCTCTCTCTCTCCCTTTCACGCTTGTCTGTCCTGTCAATTAAAGGCCAAAATGCCCCAAAAAATATCTAAAAAAATAAAAAAATAAATTTTGGAGAGGGAATTATGATATATTGCATGTAGTTGAAGGCTTTTGAAGCAGTTACTTTGTTGAAAGATGATTTTCATTCATGCTAATTCAAAGATAGTGTCATGAAGGACTGAATGACTTGGGAATGAAGAGTTGGGGCCGTTTCATAGTCGAAGCACACAACGCGAGCAAGCGACGCGAGCAACGCACTTCCTTTCATAGTCAACACATTGAATGCAAGCGACGCAGGCGACACTTGAATGCAATACATCGCTTGCGTAATAGGGGGTAGCAGAATCACTGGTACATTCCGGCTAGCTATTACTGCTATTTTATTAGAGTGCAGGGCACAAGAAATGTCATATAAATGGGGGTGTGCCCGTACAAGTTCACAAAGTTTTTCCTCCTCGTCCGCCATATTTCATACCTGCTTCTTCTGTGAATAACAAAAAGTGGTTAATTTCAAGTACGTTGGTTGCATTATCACCCCCGCTGGCAATGCACAATATTATACGTGTCGCTGCGTCGCATATCAAAAAAATGGACAACACATTTTGAGACGCAAGCACGCATCATGGCGGCCAATGCATCTCAATGCGTCCCAACGTGTTCGTGTCTGCGTGCCTTTGCGTCGACTATGAAACGGCCCTTAAGTTGTTATTTCATAATTAAGATTTATTTGTTTCCCTGGCATAACAGCAGGGATAAATAATAGCAAAAACAAAATAAACAACAATAAAAAAACATCAATATTGGCTATTGGCCAAATTTTAATTTTAAAAAACTGTATCAGCGCAGAATTTTTCACACGCATCCCTATTAACAACGACTTTATAACATCACTGATGTCTACTGCTACAGCTATTCCACTGCTTGTCACATGTGAGATTTAAAAATGGTCTCCCTGAACATGACAGCGACACAGTGGTCTAGTTCGCTGAAGACACTGAACACTAGGGTTGCAACTAAAGATTATTTTCATTGTCAAGTGATCTGTTGATTATTTTCCCAATTAATCAATCAATTAGTAGATTTTTTTTTTCATAAAAACTACTCAAACTGATAAATAAATTATCGAATTAATGGCTGATAAATTTAACAGTTGAAAACTAATCTATTAATTGCAGCTAAACTGAACACATGGCACATGTCTTGTCACATGGAAAGCCATTTCCTGCCTCCCTTTGTGAGGCTTTGTGAATGTTGAGGATAAAAACCAAACAAAACATTTGGTGATGAGCTGTGTGCAGAAAGAGATGCACCGTGAAGCATTTTGGAGGAGGCGAAAGAGGGGACATTAGTTATGCTAATTTAAAAGACGGAGTCAAAGGAAAAGGAAGGAAAATTAAATGAAGCTGAAAAAAGTGGAGCAAAAATTAAAGCTGGGCTCAAAACGAAAGTGAAAACAGGGAGCACTGAAAGTGAAACACTCTACATGACACACAGTGCTTTAGTTTGGCTGCGGATCTTAAAGTGGCCACAGTGGGGATGAATGGTGTGAAGAAAATTACCCTAGTGCATGCCACACAGGAAACTAAAACGGTGCCCGGTGATCAGTCTTGGTGCCCTACTTGTTCCCTCACAGTTACCTTGTGCACTGCACTGTGCTCTTTGAGGCTGACAGGATCCTCTGGTGATGCAAGTTTAGCTATCTGAGCGCACCAATTTAGCAAATAAAATTCTGCCTCCCTGTGCGATTTCAATATGAAAGACAGCCTGATGATTAGTAGTAGGAAGACGGCAGCTTCTCCAGCCAGCGTTATCACACGCAGCCCTTGTCGTGTTTGTTTTATCGCAAGCTGTTTGCCTGAAGAGGCCTGGCTGCTCTCATTGATACAGTTTGTCAGACAAGTTTTCAGGCACTGTTATTTTGCTTTGTTTCTGATCATGCTCTGCGCTGCTGCTGCTGCTGCTGCTGCTGCTACAGCTACAGTCAGCCTAGTTCTGCAGTGATACAATATATTCTTGTCTCTATTTCCACACTGTTAAAAGGTCCAGTGTTGAGGATTTAGGGGGATATATTGGCAGAAATGGAATATGATAAATGTTTTCTTTCGTGTATAATCACCTGAATGAAGAGTCGTTCGGTTTTTGTTACCTTACAATGAGCCGTGTATGTCTACATAGGGAACAGGTCCTGTCATGTTGCACCACTGTGTTTCTACAGTAGCCAAGATTGGGCAAACCAAACACTGGCTCTAGAAAGGGCCGTTTGTGTTTTCGCTTTGGCCACCATGGTTGGCAGCCCCTCCGTGAGGAGAGCATCGGAAAAACATAGATTTGTTTGTACGTGAATCTGCTTTATTTAGTGTTTTTACTGGTTTAAATGACCAGATGTTTTTGTTTTGGAGAGAAAGAGAACTCTGCGGATATTTCGAACCCAGGTAAAAACCTCCTGAACATCTGGATCTAAAAGGCCCTTGCACACTGAGTGTTTTTTAAAGATGCTTTTTTTAATCCATCATCTGAAAAACGTTACATACAGAAACCTTGCACACCGATTCCAATGCGTTTAATTGTTTTATTCGTTGCAAAAATTTGCATTACGTGACACAATTAAAACACACATTCCTCAGTCTTGTCGCCGCTGTGTCCCACCACATTTTTTTCACTGATTCTTGTTCTTGGTCAAACCACTCATTCTGATGGATGCGAAAAACGTGAAAAAAAAACTTTAATTTTAAATTTTTTTTAAAGACGTTCTAAAGTTTCTAAATCAGTGTGCGAACCATGATTAACACAAAGTAAGGATGTATTTATTTTTAGATGTGTGACAATTTTTGACGAAAAAAAAAAGACTCAGTGTGCAAAGGCCATAAGTCAGAAAAAAAGGTGAGCACAACTTAGCAAGCGCGGGGCTAAGGACCTGTCTACGACGTGTCAAACAGCGTTGGACTGCTTTATTCAGTGTGTTTACCGGTTTAAATCACCGGGTCCGTTTTTTTTTGGAAAGTAAGAAATCTGTACATCTGGATCTTAAGCTATCAGAGAAAAAAGGTGAGCACACATTTGCAGGTACTGGGCTAGCGGCCCAAAAAGCGTCAGAGACACACTGATTTATAATTTAAAACTGCTTTATTCTGTGTGGGTTTTTGTTTGTTTATTTAATTTTTATTCACCTGCTTTTTTTTTTGTTTTGGAGAGGAAGAGACCTTTTTGGCTCCCAGTAAAAACCTTCTGATCAGTGAACAGAGAAGGAATTCTAACCGGGAGAAGTTTGAGCTGGTTGCTATCTGCAACCGTCACCACTAGATGCCATTAAAGCCCCCTAAAAAATTAAATTTTACCAGCCTGATTCATTTCGTCATTTTGTCATGGATTTTTATCATGACCTTTTTTTCTGCAATTCAAATTTGTATGATGCAGATTTTAATTGACAACATTAATAGTGTAAAGTGTTTAAAAGTACGATACTGATGAATAGAGTTTGTAAGTTGGGTAATTTTAATATAATTGGTAAACTTTTTTTCTTTTCTACTTTTCTTTTCAGGAACCGTTTCAGGCTAACATGGCCAGGATTAACGATATGGTTAGGCTTTTGTTTTGTTCTTGTGTGTGTCGTGTCTCGTGGTGTTGCTTCTATTTCCTCTTCATGAGTTCAAATGGAAGTATTGTTGAGTCTGGTGCTTCGCTCCTGACAACCTTTACCTTTACTGCCTTCTTACTTTTCAGAGAAGAGAATCCGCCACTTTGTCCAAAAAGGCAAACAACACCTTCAACATTGTCGGAACCACCTACGCCATCAACGTTGCGAAAGACCAAGGTTTAACGACCATTTCCAAGAGCGCCACCGGAGCGGCGGCCAAACACCCCTATCTCCATAAAATGGATGACCCCTACACAGAGGCCAAGAAGTCCTACAACCGCGTCAGCAAAGTGGACAAGATCTCACGTATCATTTTCCCAGTTCTGTTCTTCATCTTCAATTTAGGCTACTGGGCCACATATGTCAACAGGAAGCCCGCTATCATGAAGGCAAACAACTTAAACTGAATTTGACCAAATGCTAGGCTTGATCTGGTTTGCTTTGGAGGGTAGACAGGTTTGCAGGAGGCCAAGTCCATTACATCTTATTGTGTGTGTATGTGTGCGCGCGCGTGTTTCGTGTGTCTGTTTTTTCTTAAGAGTTTGATATTTTGCACGTCTGTATAGATGGAAGGCAAATTTTAACATACAGTAGATTCACATAATAGTAGTGGACCTTGGAGGGAGCACATTCTCACATCAAATTGTGTTTGTGTAGAGTTTCTTTGTCCCCTCCACACTTAGCTCTGGCCCTTTCCCCCTGTTGTGAGTAACCAAGTGTCCCTTTGCTGTATCTTGATTGCTTGCCGTTTTGTAGCGTAGTCCAGTTGTGTTCCCACCTATGTTTTGACATGTTTGCGCTTTGCTTATAATAAGTTAGAGCGAGCACGCGTTGGAAGTTTTCGTCGTAGCTCATTTTCCGATGATAAGGTTTTGACACATCCATCAAGTTAACAACATGCATGCACGCACGCACGCAGACACAGACACACAGCGATGCATCAGAAAATGCCAGGAGAGCCATTCGCCGGTCACTTTACCGTGCTCTGCTAGCCGGGGGCAGCCTGTATAGCTCCATAGGAACATCATTAATAATCGTCAGTGTCTGGCCTTCAGCTTGGCGCTGAATCTCAACAGACTCAATGCAGTATCATCTGGAATTGCTATCGCGTCCCATAGGGCTGCCTGTACATTTTCTAGTCCAGTGGCTCTTATTGTTTTAACTGGCTGAGTATGCTTAATGACAGAGAAGCTATGTGCCTTGGTGAACACACACATCATAAAAGGAAAAAAAAAAAAAAAAAGGCTTTGACACACTCACATTTGCAGCACACATACGCACAATGGTCTCTGTGTACGTTACATGCAAACATATACTGGTGTCCACAGGCGCGGTGCACTGCAGTATGTGGCTGTACCCCACCCACCCACCCACCCACCCACAGGCATGGGCAGCGAGTGTAAAATTGCCCATTAGTGTGGAAGGTTAACAGACCTCTGCCTGTGAAGAGATGAAGCAAAGAGATTAAAGGATCCAGCGTAGTCTAGAACAATTATCATGTGCATTTATGTTTTGGCTCGTGGCGCAGCGCCTCCGTGAGCCGAGCAGTCATAACAAACTACCACCATTACCTCAGACTGAAGTCGAATTCTGAATCGCAGTTTAATATATGTTTTCCGTGGAAATGCAAATAACACTAGATGTTTTATACATTAAATCATACCAGACACTCTTTCTTTCTTTCTTTCTTTCTTTCTTTCTTGTGGGCGGGCACCCCGGTGCCTTTTATTTCTTTGTGGTCTTCGCATCTGTGTTTTTGGCTGCATTATGATTCTTTCTGCATTTCTGCCTCGTCATGAGCAAGATTTTGATTCATGTTGTACTTTTGCCCTTTTTGTATTTGATTGTGTAGAGTATATTGGTGTTGATTTGATTGTCTACCTATGCTGTACTGTTTTTGTGTTTTGAAGTAGACAACAAAAGGCCAATATGTCACAGTCACACAGTATTTCGGAACAAATTTTGGAGATGCTATCATCACTGGAGACTATTGTACTGCAAAAAGCTGTGAAACTGACCAATAAAACTAAAATAATAAACTAATTTAATTTTTGTGATCACATGATAGAACAAAGTAATTATCAAATTATTTCATCTGATTCATCTCCAGCTGTGGCATCCGTCTCCAACTTTTGTTCCCCGTTTGTTAAGTGACATCTGTATTTTTGTTTTGTGTTGAATTTGGTCCGTGTTTATACAGATGTTATATGATTCTAAAGCAATTTATGTTGCTTTCCTGCCAGATGCACTCTGGATATTTTGCATTGTCTTAATTATAGACTCTCTGATGACCACTACATCCAGTGGATTCAAACTTTATCTTCGGTGGTAAGCATAGGAGAATGAGTGAACTGTGTCGTGGCCTCTTTAAAAAGGTGTGGTAATAACACGAACCATGTACAATGTATCAGTCATAGGTTAATGCATGACAATCTGTACACGTGTATGTCTGCAACCTCCAATAATGGTGTTTGTCACACTGAAATAGGGCTTAGTAACAGTGTTTCTGTAGTTCATCCCAGTTAGTCATCAATAACCTACTCATAGTCTCAGCAGCATCTGCATAAACACACTGAAACTCTGATTATTTGTGCATATTGATGTGACGTAATCATTTAGGGCTGGCAAAGAGTTCTGGAAGTGTTTTGACCCTCGTTCGGTGGCACACAGATTTGAAGATTAATCAGTGTACTGACACAAACACCCTGTTACAAACATTAACCACACAAAGTATAATTCTTGTTTGTAGTTCCCACATTGGAAAACACATTCAGGCCACATTTCAAAATGAGTAAACTGCAGGTTTAGATTAAATAAAACGCAATGAAGGATTCTATTTTGTCGGCCATTATTGTTTAAATATACAAATATATATTTCTTATTTATTTCATTACGATTAAATGTTTTCCCACCATCTCCACTCTTGAAGTGTTGAAGTATTTAAAATTGTGGTTCATTTTACACTGAGGACCATCACATCCAATCAAAACACACATCAAAAGTCTTCACCCCGCATGCAAGCAGATCATAGAGATCTTAAACAAAACATTGTTCACCATCTACAGACTTGCAACACAAGTGGAACAGCATGAATATCTCCTGGTAAACCATGTTTCATTTTCAAACAATACACACTTACACACAAACTCAAACACTGGCTGATAAATCATGACACTAAATTTTGGATATGAGTTGTTAAGAACTCATTAAAGTCATATCAGACTCATAAAGACAAACTAGGTGTACTTTTCCCTGTTGAAAGCAATCAGGTGGCTTTTTGCGTTTATAAAATGGTTGCTACATCCACGTGCCAATATTTCATAAAATAAACACATAGCAACAAAACAGTACAATAATTTATTGATAAGAAATAATCACTCTTCTGCCAAGAAATGTAGTTCTTTAGCGACATTTAGCGGAATGGTTGCCAGGCAACACACAGACGCATTGGAAAGTGCCAGCTGCTTTAGGGGCCGTACACAACCACCTAGAAAATGCGAGGTCGGGCACTGTGTGCAGCTCTTGTGCCTATTCAGTGCCAACTTTCAAGCGCGATAGATTGCGACTTAAGTTGCTAAGCAACTATACCAAGCACCATCTCATAGTCTACTTATATCCTCCTGAGACCCAAACTTTTGTTTGGTTTGCATTTTTTATTTCTCCTAGCTATTTGGGATCAGCAGGACCTGATAAGTATAAAAAAAACACTAAACATTGTCAACAATAATTAAGTCCCGATGTCCTAAAATGAGTCGACAGTAAAATAAACAAAGTTTCAACCATAAAATGTGATCAGGTTTTTGACCTTGTCCACTTTTGTGTCAGGATCAGCTGCAGACTGACTTGGTAGAGATGGCTACCATCTTGTTTTACATGGTTTAGTGTATTGTGCTCTTACTACCACTAGATGGCACTAAAAAGGTCTGAGTTAAGTAGAATGAAGTGTAAGGTCAAGCAAACCCAAAATGTGACGTTCTCATATCAGGACACAGGGTCTCAGGAGGATATAAAATCCAGAGATGATTGATGTAAAGCTCTTGGTAGTAAAATGTTCAGCTTCTTGTCCATATTTATCACAGATATTTACGAGAGAAGGCTGAGATTGGTTGTTCCCCGTCACATGACATGCGGTGCGCGTTGCTGCAATCCAAAAGTTCAACTCTGTTTATCTCAGGGCCCAGGGCCATTGAGAAATAGGTGCTCAGAACACATGTGCATTGGTTGGTGTCGCTCTGGCATTGGAGCGTGCCTGTTGTGCGTCTATATTGAAAACAATGAATTTGAGGGCACAAAAAGTGCGTCATGTGTACAGCACCTTACAAATCCGTGGCAACATGGAGCCAAATAAGTTCAAAAGTAACAAAAATGATATCACTAGCGATTGACAACATAAATAGATAAAATTCAGCATGATAGGCTACAAATAAAAACATGCAACCTTGCTAAAGTTATGTCATTGACTAACCACATATCGTCAGTGTAGGTTGCCCTCTTTGGATGGAGATTAAAGGCCGGTGGATTGGATGATGGAGCAGCAATGTGTATTTCTCGAGAAAGTGACAGGACACATTGGGTTCCCTGGTTGCGCAAACATTAGTCCCTGTAGGCTCTCTCCGTTTCTTTGGACGGCACCTTTAAGGTTTTTTGTGCTTTCCTTTTTAGCTCTGCGTTCCATATGACGATGGGTTAAATGGCACAGTAACACTAAAATTGTAATGTGGTCACAGTTGTGTGTTTATAGAGTGTTTTACAGCGGCTTTGAACACAGCTCAGCCAGTCATAATCAAACTGGAACTATCCGTTCTATAAAGCATATTTTTCAGCACCATGGGGAAATAACAATCAGACATCATACTGCAGACACAGTATGGCTTTTTGATTCAAATATATTTCATGAATTGATTCATTGTGTCTGTGAGGACGACTGCGAGGCGCCATGTGTCGTTTTCAGACTTCATTTTTTTATCATTTTGTCTCAAACAAACTGATTCATGTCTCAGACAAAGTGATACACATCTGCTGAAGCCGGCTGGCTGCTGCTAATTCAGGATCTGATGACACACAGTGTTAATGTTTATGTATGATCCTCTGAGAAATGTGATCCAAGGACTGTACTGAAGTAGTTATGAGAAGCAGCCGCCGCTGAGTATTCAATCTGCATTTGTGAGATCACTTGCCTCACAGACAGGCATCCTCTGAGTGAGACAACCCTCCCAGTCATAAACATCGCAACACAATGACCAAACATTCATTCACATCAGGGTTTCACTTAGAAAACAAAACTGTGCCTCAGTCAAATGGGCCAAATGTCATCTGCTTATTGAGCTTCAAAACAATTGATACACAAGCTATATAAAGAATGACATCATCAGCGCATGTAGATTTATATCTTTAATTGAAAAGTGAACTACTTCTGCTTATATATTAAGCTCCAAATAAAATAACCCCTGTCATATAGACTCATATGTATAATGAATATATTCTTACAATACATAAATGAGTATTATGTGAGCCTACATCCTTTGAGACACAAAGAATTTTCTTCAGCTTTTATTCAATTAGAATAAAACCCACTTACAAACAAACAGAACTATACACGTAGGCCTATCTGCTTCAAGACATATTAATTACAGCATGTTGCTGCCCACTTGAAATCAAATAATTTCTTTTCCCTAAAAGGCCTTTACTCTTATACATTCCATAAAAATCATGAACAAAATATTTATAGAAAGGCAGAAATGATTTTTCTTAATCACTGAGCAGATTTCCCAAACATTCATTTATTTGTGACACACCGCAGTCACCATCACATATAGGTTTTATAGTTTTGGAGCTACGTCTCTCTCCCTCTTTCTCTTGCAGCAGAGCGTACTCTGGGCACAAACTAAGCGGGTTTTCACATATATTTCTTTTAAAACAAACCAAACTCAGTCCTCTTTAAGTGCACCAAAAGGTGGACCAACGGAAAAGGGACTCAGTTCTTTTGACGTGGCACTGCAGTGCGGTTATGAAGCCCCTCGCTTCCACACAAACTTAAAATTGGAAGAAAACCTTCGGGTTTCTGTGCTGCACACTGTTGCCGTTGATGGATGGATTCTGCATTTCACATCTGGAGACATGCAGTATCATCTGTGGACCAAACTACTCCTCATCCTGCATCCTTGTTTTACATGGTTACAAGCATTACAGGCCGACGTGGTTTCGTCTGTTTTTTCAGGCATCCAAGCGAAATAGCATGTGATCTAGAGGGCTAAATGCAAAGGCAAAGGGCAAAGCGAGCCTGGAGCGCTTTGTGTTCACAGTGCACAGGTTAAGGGAACCGCATCACGGACTTGAAGCAGGCCGAACTCAGACCAGCAAATAATGCTGAGTAGTCGCTCTGAGTCTGCTCAGAGGGCTGAAAAGGACCAAGTGTGAAAACACCCCAAGTAGCAGAGCGCCAAGTGCAGTCAAAGCGAAATGTAACCATTTGTTAATTCATATAGCCGAAGACAGTTTGCTTGGACAAGCCTCTGCAGCAGCTGCTTCTCTTATTCATCAGTCTAATATGATCATCTTCATCCCGCAACACAAACTCGACAAACTGCTGCTGGAAAAGAAGATAATGATCGAAAATGGTTTACCAAGAGATTTTTTTAGAGTTTGGTCTATAACATTTAAATGTTATATACACTTAATCATTATGAATCTATACTTAATCATTTTAATGTATATAAATACCCAAGTCTCTCCGTCAGACGACTACTTTAACCCAGTTCCCAATTGCACAAAATTAATTAAATGTATTTATTTATATTTGTTGAGCGCAATATGCAGTATTACCTTTTCTTATTCACATATCTTGTGCGTCTGTGGGCAGCAAAAAAGGGGCAAAACACTTCCAGAGCCACACAACCACAACCTCTGCACTCTGCAGCTGAACTATAGTAGAACCTGTCATCCAAACTGCTCAGACTAATAACTGCAAACAAAACCTACGGTAGTGCAACAAAAAAGAGATGATTGATCAACTTTAAAAAGAAGAATTTAATTAAAAATATTTTTGAAGAGTTTGCAGGATCATGATCTTTCCTGAGGAGTTTTGATAAATGGGACTCTGCTGTGTTGTTGTCATTTAGGTTCTGATTGTGTTATTCATGTGGTAAATCCTTTCCTCACAGGGCCAGAGTTAACTTCAGCAGATACATATCATCCAATAAGATACAGTATATTAAGGAGTATATTACTTACTATATGAATCTATTTATGCTACTCAGTACGGCATTAAATATTATGTTTTATACGACATAACCTCGACAGCATTGATGCAAATCTCTTGATGGGTAGAACGCTGTAGACAAATAGATTAACTGAATAAATTGTTATAAACTAAATGGCAACAATTCTAATTGCTCACAATAGTGTTACTAAGTTGTGAATTTGTAGATATTGTGAAATCAATTCCGATAGTTTTTGTGAATATTGATATGTCACGTCATTTATTTTTACATCTGATAGGTACCGCTGTCCTACACCCAGCTCTGTAACACCACGTGTTATGGTACTTTAAAGACGTACAGTAGAGATAATACTCATCGAGCTACTTACAAGATCCGTACCTTGTGTGCACTTTTCAAACCTAACTGTGAATTAGCAGCTGTCTGCAAGCAGAGTTGTACACACTGTGTTCTCTCTCCAGCAATTTCACTGCATGTCCCTACACATTGAGAGATCAAAGACTTCCTCCACAAAGACAGCTCCGGGAACATAGTGGACTTTGTGTTTGTGTCGGGAAGTTGCTCTCTATATGCTCAGTGACTGGACTCTTGTGTTGCCCTCTCTCGTTCATGTTCTTACTGTATGAGATGTAGCAAATGCAAATGGGGATTAAAAAGGACGTTGTATTTTGTGTTGGAGTTACGAGACCCTTCTTGGTCACATCCGAGCCTCAAGGGTGCAAATCTTCAACGCGGTGGACTCGTGCGATGTCCCTTCAGAGGCTCATTTTGAAAAGTGTTTTTGTCTGACTTTTTGTGTTGTCGTCAGGGCTTTGCATGCGAGTCGTTTTGTCTGTGGTGTTTACACTGATTTGAGAGGGATAAGATCAAGCAGTACAGTGTGAGGACCTCCTACAGGGAACAAAACATGTTGCGCACATTCAAATTAGAGCACAGCCAATTCAAATGTCTCTTGATGTTTCTGTGAAGTTTGGCATCAGCATGTGCAACTCACAATATCTAGGACTACCGTGCATTACACAAAAACAGGTAGAATAGCCAAGGCACAACATGTAGGGAATTTGAAGGTGCGTCAGACCGTGTGGGACGGGGTGCCATCTTGTGAGGTACACACTCTGACACCTGTGCCTGCTACAGGGGTTATACCTGCTTACTTCCTGTATTTCATTTGGCTAATTGGCTCAAAAAGAGGAATGCAGCCTTTCCTAGGCTTGGACAGTATGACAGTATTACAGTATACCAGGGTATTTCGAGATCTCGATGGTATGATTTGCAATACCATCGACAAACAGACAGTCCTCGTTCTATCAAACTGATAAGGAGATGCTGCATTGAGGAAGAACTGTGTGTAGTGCATAGCATGCGCCACCAGAGGTCAGTCTCTGGGGTGGGGAGGACATTACATTATTAGTAAAAGGCCAGTGAGAGTCATGACACATAACTTAAGGGTTTATTTTGCCCAGACTGGAGTTGTGTCCCAAATTTACTGTGGTGGCCCACCACATTATCAGCATCTGCACTGCCAAGGTATATGATTTATGTCGTTTGTCATGATTAGCTTGTCCAAATACCAATGCTTGACCACCTTGGCAGGCACATGTAACAGAACGCGTTCCTCACAAGATGGTGCCCCCATCCTAAAATTTGACATCAACTTCACATTCCCTATAGCTCAAGCTGTACACATTATCAGAAGCTCGCCATTTATATAACTACTGTTGTGCCTCTGTGTTACAGTCACTTAACATTTCTCTCCTCTCCACTAGTCATTAGTTGTCCAAATCAGTCTCTGAATCAGCAGCCAAAATGTTTGTCTCTATGGTATTATAAAGGTCAGTATTAAACAAATTGAGTGTTTCTATGAAAAGTGCTGGTAGGAACACGATGTAAAGCTGGAACAATGTTAGTCAGAGAGTAGTTTAGGCTGCACTGGTGAACCTCTGCCAGAAGGTGCTGCAACAATTCACCCATTTGACTTCATCAATTATTTAAGGCTATAACTGCAAATCCTCAAAGCCCTTCTCTGTGAGAAAACTGCCAAAAAAACTCCCAACAAGCTTTGGTTTTTGTAGCATCAATAATATCAACAATATTTCTATCTAAACCTGAGATTTACAAACAGACGAAGAGATCAAGGAATCATAAAAAAATGAGATCTACTTCAGTCTGTACGGAGCAACAACAAAGCAGAGGGTTTTCAGTGTGAACATTGCTGGGTATTATCAATACACAAGGCTGCGCTGATGTCCACAGACTTTGAAGGTTACTGTTACTGTCTGGCTCCGGTCCAGTCCTCACTGCCCTGTAGGTGCCTTCAACTGCACAGGAACGCTGTTGTGTTTAAAGCCGAAGCACCTCATTTTTTTCTCAGCACGCTGGGGGAAAATGAGCTTTCTAAAGCCCCCCACATGGACATATAAGGTTGTTTGCTCGCTTATGCTTGCTATGATAAATGAAACTATCCATTACACATTTAGTGGCTGTTGTTTATACCAGCTCTAGGAACTGTATAGTGCTTTGTGTCTGTGAGCTGCACCACTTGTATGCTTATCTACCTGATCTCAAACATAGAAACAGTAGACACTTTGAGAATTCGATCACAATAAGACTAAAGACACGCACACATTCATTTTTAATGATGGCGAAGGCCATACACTAATGGGATAATAGCTCTATATGCATAACACACAGCATATAATGAGAAATGTTTCACACAAGTCACAAAATTACTGTTCACTTGGTAGCAGATGCTAATTCAGACGTATTCACAACATGACAGGCGATAGCAGAAACATACATATGCACTACGAGTAATGAATAACATGAGCTGTAGTGTCAGAAAATAATGAACCTGTTATCAATGCACACAAATGACACCAATATTTTTTATCATATAAGCAGCAGCTGACATCACAGGATGCCTGCTGTCACTTCCAGAAAGATGCCAAGTCATTCATGCATGAGAATAATAAACTGCAGCAATTGTTAAGATGTTTATTTTGTACAAACTGTGCAACCTGATGACCTCAGTTGTTGTGGTAAGCCAACAGATGCATACTGAAGAGAAAAAATAACACAAGTATCTATAAATAAATAAATGGATGCATTAATAATAAAATAAAATAAATAAATGCTGAAATAAATATGGAAATCAATAAATGCTTAACAAAAGAAATACAGGAATAAATAAATACATGTAGAAATAAATCTGAGATATTTATTTATGTTCTGTTTCATTATCAGCTTTAAATTATTTATTTATGAATGTATCTATTTTTTTCTTATTCATTTCAGCATTTATTTATTTCCTTATTTAATTCAGCATTTATTTATGTCCTTATCTTTTTCAGGATTTATTTATTCTTTTTATTTGTTTATTCCTGTATTTATACAGACATTTGTTTTTTTAATTTTTTTTATTTATTCTTGTATTTATTTAGATATTTATATCTGTATTTATTCTTGTACTTATTCATACATTTTTTAATGCTTTTAGTTTTTTTTCCTGTATTCATACATACATTTTTGATTTTTTTTAATTTATTCCTGTATTTATTTAGATATTTATATCTGTATTTATTCATACTTTTTTTATGAATGCTTTTGGGCATTTAGTTGTTTTTTTTTTCTGTATTTATATATACACATTTATTTTTGGATTTGTTTATTTATTCCTGTATTTATTTATTTACCTATACATTTATTTACTAACTGATACTTAAGTCATTTTCTGTCCTCCATAATGCAAACACTAAACATGCAAATAGGGCTAATGTGCTTCTTTTTGTGACGTGAAGTCAGTATTGTTGAGAAAAGAAATCATCCAACTGATGTAAAAACCAGGATGAGGAGGAAGAGGGATGTTATCTGATCTCCACTGACATATGAGGGTAACGCAGGGCGATCTTGTCAGCTTGAAAGATGCTCCCCCTTTGTTTTCGACCTTTGTTAACCGTCGTTTTAAAAGTGTCCACCTTTCTATTACTGAGGTTTATGTGTGGGGCTACTGACAAACTGTTTCCATCCCTTTGTCCAGGAATTGCTGTTCTTTACAGTGAATAAAGATAAAGTGCTTTCACGTGTCTGTTAGTGTGACTGAGTCTTTGGTGACACACGCAACTGATTTAAGTTAATGAAAGACATAACAGAGAACGCTGCAGCCTGAAGACATCCACGGTAATTGTCTGGTTCACCAAGAGCCACTCAGGGGAGTCTTCAATCTCACAGACATGCAGTTCTGCACAGGGGATGACACCGTTACACTGCAACCTGCTTGGGGGCACATGAGCTGACTCACACAGAAAAGATTTATATGAATGCATTTTGTGAAACAACTTGTGTAACTCTGCAAAAAAAATAAACTCCATCTCACTACAAACACATTGGACAACCAGATGTTCTAGAATCCACTAAGTGACGACACCAGCCTCCATGCCGCCATTAGCCAACAACGCACCTACAAATATAGCAGAGAATAAACTAGGGATGCAAGATATGAGTAAAAGATGTGC